TAGATAGATAATATTGAACAGACAGGGCTTTCTAGCTAGATAACGACGCCCACAGAACTTTCCATTTCATTTAGATTTATAAATAAAGAATAAATTTATAGAGAGAAACACTAGGAGAGGGAACAGATTCTTTCCTTTTAGATTTCATAATGAATAGATAATGATAGTTAGATAGATATTGAACAACCGATCCAATATCAAAATCCAAATTGATACCTTGCCACCAGTTCTAGTAGTGTTTAAATTCATAAAATCGCTTGTTCACATTTCTTTTGAGCTCATCCGAACAATTACCATGAAAGTATTTATCAAAAGGCACAGGGAAGCTACATTTCGGATCTGTTAAAAATGACTTTTAATGAAAACGCCAGGTCATTGTTCAATAATATTGCTGATTCTCCTTTTGATTTTTTCAAGTATCTCCAAATATACAGCAGAAGGCTAACTATCATATGTGTTCTAATATTCTAAGCATTGACGAATGGTAGAAATAAAAGATATGTAAGATAGATTCTGGAAAAGAATTGTCTTTCTTTCACATGCAACCGGCATTGAACCAACTTTCTTAAATGTTGAATTAATATCGTCTTTCCATTTCATTTCAGCCGAGAATGTTAGCCTGTGAAGACACATCGAGTCAATTTCCTGGAGGTTTCCCTATTAAACAAATGGGGAGTTTATGCTAATAAACAAATAAATCCCCAGTATAAAATATAAAAAACAAAGTGCTTTCAGTGTCTGTTTTATTTTCATACAAATCAACCAATATTTTCAGCAATATAATAAATGCGAATGTCAGTATGTCACTCTGTCACACTTCTTCAACCTTTACTCCTAGAAAGAATAAAAACCGCCAACATTATGATTGATTTTTTTTATTCGGGCCAGATCCGGACCCAAAATCCTGAACTTTATGAATGGTTCAAATTCATTAGTTTTATTTAATTCTGTAATTTTTATTATAATTTTTCAAACAATTTTTTTGTGCACTATTTATAACTTAGAAATAAATTTTTGAATCATCGAAATTAATTGCGAAATCCAGGAAAAGTCACCCATGAAATAAAAATAATTGTTTGTACGGAAAGTAAGGATCTACATACATCAAATTATCCTCAAATTAAGTGGCGACAGAAGAATTATCATTGAACTTTGAAAAGGTAAGCTTAAATATTAATGCAATTCTTAAATGCAGTAATCAATTTTAAGTTCTTCTGTAGTTTATTGTTGCCTAACGCATCTAATCCTACCTACTTATTGTGGTACAGGCACAATCAAGAACCCTCCACAAGAGCTAAATTAAATGCCGCCCGATAAGGCAGATTTTAACGTAGTATTACATATTTACATATATTCTGTTTATGTGTTGTTTACCTACGATATTTTGCTGTGCACGGATCTCCACAACATCCTGCCTTTTTTTTCTTTTTTGCCACGAACAACTTCTTACCGAGATCATAGCTCTGAGTACAATTTCAAGAAGTAATTCTCTTTCTGTTTCTGAACAGATCACGTAGGATTACAAAAGTTAAGCAACGTCGTGACTGATCAGTACTTAGATGGGTGAGTGCTTGGAATACCAGATGCTGTAAGTTTGTATGTGAACGTGGTGCAAGTGATAACGGCTCAAAATTGGAAATTGGATGGCCGAGTTTCAGTTCCAGTCAGGTTTGTTATATTCACTTACACGCAAATATCATTGGGAAAAATTATGAATAACCTCTTCTCCCCTCAGCTACGGGTTAAATAGCAGCATTTGTATCAGTAAATCATTATTATCTCCCAAAATCTCTAAAAATATTTTACGCCTTTAAATAACCTATAAAAGGTTGATAAGCCGTAAAAAATAATTCAATCAATCAGTTATTCTTTTTCTGATTTATACGATCAGTGTTAACTTCTACAACTCCCACTTTAAAGTATTAGTACTGGGCTTTTAAATGTAGAGCAATAAGGTACCTCTCTCGTTAAAGACATTCCACCCCGCTTGAATTCTTAAAACTAAATCTGACGGAGTTCTATATTAATCGTTTCTTTATTCGCAATAAAAATAGATTTTTTTCTTTTCCTAGTGTCTGTTTGGTTTCGATGTCCACAACGAATTGCTTCCTATCTAAGGTGATTTTCTAAGCGTAGCTTAGATGCGGCATAAAGCCACTACTCAGTGTAGAATAACAACACTTACCGGCGTAAGGGTCCCAGCTAGCGTCCAGTTGGCAGACAAAAATAAAGCAGATTGTAACTCAATACAAACCCTGCAAACTGACTGGAATCAAGCTGATATTTATACAGAAATACCTTCACTCATGTACCAGCAGCCAATCACAGCCCAAGCAATGGACTATCCCACTTGAGCACAATGAGATGCTCCATTGCACCATAAATAGCTCTCTTTCTCAAGGTGGAGGTATCTTTTCTCAACTTGTTCCACAACTGAGTGTTTGTCTTGACAACGTGATTGTTCTACATTCAGTTGTAATTGCTTTAGCAAGGCGAACTTGTTACACCACGTCGAGGTTCCCATTTACTTTCTTCTATTTCAGGACATACTGTTCTTTTTATAACTCAGATAATTTGAAAATGTTTCGTCAACAACTTCATTTTAACTTAAGATTTCGTCGCCTACTCGGTACTAAATTGCAGTAGCATTTGTAGAACGACTTTCACGTTACTAACGAAACAGATAAAATTACAATTAATGAATATTTCCTTTAAAAAAAAAATCTCCAAATTCCGTTTCGATACTTCCTGCTTTAAACTCATTTTTTTTATAATCTGGTTATATCGTTAAGAATGCCAGTAACACTCAGACAACAGGAATCTATGGAAGCTGCAACTAACAATAAAGAAGGAACTCCTTCAATGGACATTGCAATACTTGTCTGACAGGAGTGATTTCTTTCTCTAAATTGGTCTGGCTTGGTTTGTTTTACCGCAGATCAACCTGAATGGGTTATTTAATGCCGACAACATTTTTATTACTGGTATTTTTTTCAAAAATGTATTGCGGGTAGTTTTTCTAAACATATAGCTGGTATTTTTTAAATGTATTTCTGGTATTAATTTTTCGTCAGAAATTTAGTAGTATAAATTTTTACTGATATTTCTCTGGTATTAAAACCTATTTTTACACTTTCATAGTATTTGGAGGCGGTTAACTATTTGCCCATTGCTGGGACCCTAACCGGTGCTACCACCACGGGTCAGGGTGGACATGTGAAGACCAGCAATTAAAAGATGGTTCCACGTTCCTCAAAACATTCTGATCAGAGGCCTTGCTGTCGGATGTAGTCTATCGTCTTACCCAGGACGCGAACGTAGTTTATCGTCACACTCAGGATGGTCTAACTTGGTTTGATACGTAATGGAATAAACCATATATGAGAAAACGGAAGTTCAATTTCGGAGTAGCAGAACTCTTTACGTGTCTGTTATTTAAAAATTAAAGAAATTAGTATGTTTTGTTTAAAAAAAAACGAGTGGGATATTCAGATAGAACGTGCTTAAACCTAAAATGGATTTCATTTCTATGTGTTGTCTCAACAAATTCTGAAACAATAATTGTTTAACGCATTACGCGGAGATGTTTCAAACCACCAAAGGCCATTTAGAGAATTTTACGAAGAACTTCACAAATGATGATGGTAGCATTGGAAACAACTTTTGTAAGTACCAAATTTTTGAGTAAAACAAATGTTAAAAATAGTCACAAAAATATTATTGCATTGAATATTAAGCAATCATTTTTCTCTCTTTTTCAGTAATTATTAGTCAAGTTCAAAGTGCTAATTAAGGTTTTTTATCTTTAATCAATGAAAAGAAAGAAACTAAATTGTCTATATTCAGACTCGTCTTACCTTCTAATACTCCATTGATTTGACAATTACTCATACGTTTGATAGCTTATATATATTTTTTATTTTTTACCTGATTTCATATATTAATTTTGCAATTATGTCCTTTTTATTGTTGATAATTTTCTAGATATTTTCTTGCTGTTTTTTTTTTAATTATACTTCATTTATCATGGATTTATTTGATTGTTTGTTCAAATAATGTTTCGTCCAAGTTTCATCGACTGAATCATCTTTGGGGATTTTTTACGATAAAGTTAATTTCCTTTTACTTGTAAGCATTTCCAAGAATCCAATTGAAATGTATAAAATCTGTCACTCTCATGAATTCACATCCACCCATATATGACTTTATATATATATTGCTTAACCAGAAGTCCTCTGTGGCTGGACGGTCATAGCACGCCAGACGTTATTTATATATATATATATATATATATATATATATATATATATATATATATATGACGAAATATAGTTTTATGGTCTGCTATATTTATGGGATAAAGTGCTTAATATGAGAGATAGAGTGTATGTAAATATAAAAATGAACATTGAAGTACACATTCAGAGGCGACAGGCTGTTTCATGCATGGTTGCGTCCAGCAGTAGGTTGCCATTTCTTTCTGCGGTAGACTAATTCCCATCCAAGGCTATAGGACCCGATTTGTCTTGCTATTTACCCATATCTGCGGGGGGGGTGATTCCCAAGGGTATTAGCACGTAAGTGACTGTAATGGATTTGATTAGAATTCGAACTCAGCAATCCAATTCCTCAAACCAAGCCACTATCCATTGCTCCACCGTGCCTCATCAAACACACACACACACACACACACACACACACACACACACACATATATATATATATATATATATTTATATATATATATATATATATATATATATATATATATATATATATATATATATATATATATATATATATATATATATATATATAGTTCTGTCTGTCAGCGTGTGAATGTGACAGTAAATAACGGTCTAGAAAAAAAACATTCAACTTTTATGCTTAATTGGATGCTTTATCCTTTTTTACTTTCCTTCAAATCATCAAAGCGCCAACGATGAAAAGAATCGAACCTTGGACCTTTCGGCAATCAACTTGATTATCCTCATATAGAGATGCCACCCACCTTCCTCCCTCTATTTCTCTCTCTCTCTCTCTCTCTCTCTCTCATACACATTCTATCACTTCTTTCTTTCTTTCACGCACACATACACACACACTGTTACTTCTCTCCCTTATTTCTCTCTCCCTGTCTCTCCAGCACACATCTAGATCCCACATACAGATACTATTGCAGGCTTCTTTCTCTCGTACACACCTTCTCTCTCATACCTGTCTGTCACTTTCTCTCACGGACGCAAACTCTCTTTTACTTTATCACTCATTGTCTCTCATGTCTCTCTATAAATCTATCTATCTATCTCACAAATATGAATTCTTGTCTTTTGTCTATCGCCCACTTTCACACTAACTCTCTCTCTCTCTCTCTCTCTTACACTTATTCTCTCTCTCTCTCTCTCTCTTTCATTTTCTCACAAATATTGTTTCCCACTTGTCTCTTTCTCTTTCTGACACACCCAAAACACACACTTTTCTCTTTCACACTCACTTCTCTCTCTCACACACAATCATTCTCACACTCAATTCTATCACTGTCTCTCACTCACAGATTCACCCTCCCAATATACTCACCCTCAACAGAGAGTATTATGCGAATTTCTTTTTAGTATATTTGTGTACGTGGTGCGGGTCCTTACTGATTAACCTAATGTAGTTGATGATAAGTAACGCTAATCTATAAAAAAAAAAGGTGGAGTTTTGTTTTTAGCTCTCAGGCCGGAGACAAAAGCAAAAGATTGTTTTATCGATTGAAGATGTTAAAAAAAAAAAAAAAACAAGGGTCGATGGCAAGGTCAGAGGGCGAGGATAGACGGAGGCGGGGAAGAACTATAAAAGTAAATGATCGATCAGGCTACAGAGAAAGAAAGAAAGAAAGAAAGAAAGAAAGAAAGAAAGAAAGAAAGAAAGAAAGAAAGAAAAATGGAAGGAAGGAATAGAAAAAAGGAAGGAAAAGAAAGAAAGAAAGAAAGAAAGAAGGAAGGAAGGAATAGAAAGAAGGAAGGAAAAGAAAGAAAGAAAGAAAGAAAGAAAGAAAGAAAGAAGGAATAAAGAATGAAAGAAGGAAGGAAGGAAATATAAAAAAGACGAAGAAATAAAAAGAAAGAAACGAACAGAAAGCAAGACATACCAGCCCTTTTTCTGATTTATATAAATGATCTACCTAAGAATATATTCTGATTATTTGTAAACGTTTATACCGAAGATACGACGATAAACGGATGCATCTCAAAAATGTTTTGATGTTCCGAGTTTGACAGCTGACGTGTCTTCCGGTCTAACACTAACCTCCCAGTTGGGGGAAAAACTAGCTGGTTACATTCAATGCTTCTAAGCTCAAACTGTTTATATTCTATCACCGCCGATCAGACCCGAACTACCGTCAGTTACGATGAACGGATGTCTCCCCAGGAGGCAGCGTGACTTGAGAGGATACAAACACACACCCGACCGCAATTGGAATTCCTATATTCGATCCATCGCTGAAGATGCAGGTAAAATGACCGGCTTCATCTACCGCCTTAGTAAGTAACTGACACCTTATGCTATCCTCTGCCTTTATAAGAGCCAGATCAAGCCGTAAAGAGAGTACTGTTGCCATATTTGGACAGGAGATGACTTGATATTATTTTCCAGTCTTAAGAGAGTTCAAAGCGTCTCCGAGTCCTTTCTAAAGAAAAATATTTTCCACCCTCCAACCTGTCTCTCTCACCGTTAGGGCGTGGCGTGTCTCTCACTGTTCTATCGCTATTACCATGGAAAGTGCTCGGACAAACTGCATTTGCTGGTTCCACCAGGTGGGACATACACGATTAGGACCCGCCATGACACTTATATATTAGCAACAACCCACATTCCACTTGTATTCCGTCGGCAAGAAGTTCCACAGCTTCTTTTCCGCGGATCACTGCTCTATGGAAGAGACTCCCAAGAGGATGTTTCCTCCATAACTACAATCTTAACCTGTTCAAGTCTGGAGTTAAACGTTATCTATCCATATAAACTACCCCTTAACTTCGAGTGACCCACAGGCCTTGTACAGAGTGAACCTTACTGTAAAAAAAGCCAAACCGAGATATAAAAAGATAGATAATTAATAACATATATATATATATATATATATATATATATATATATATATATCCAACCTCTCTCGCACAGTTGGGATGTGGCAAGCATCTCACTGCTCTATCGCGTCTTCCATGGATAGTGCTCGAACGTATTACATTCTTTGGTTCCGCCAGTTCTAATCTTCACGGCTTATTTGAAAAATATGACACTTAAATTATAGCAAACCACTTTCATTCTTTCCATATGCTATCGGCGAGAAGTTCCACTCAAAGAGCTTCTTTTTCCGCGGATCACTGTCCTATGGAAGAGACTCCCAAGAGGATGTTTCCCTGGGACAATCTTAACTTGTTCAAGTCTAGAGTCAAACGTTATCTTCCCGTCTTATCCATATAAACAACCCCTTAACGTCACTCTCTGCCACGAATGGCCGCTGGCCTTGTACAGAAAAAAGAACGGAGGACTAGAAAGAAAGACAGAAGGAAGGAAGGAAGGAAGGAAGGAAGGAAGGAAGGAAGGAAGGAAGGAAGGAATGAAAGGAAAGGAAAAGAAAAGAAAAGAAAAGAAAAGAAAGACGCCATAGAAAGAAATATATTTCGCATGTTTTACTTATTCCAACAAAAATTGACTGAATAAATGTAAGTTTAAAAACTATCACACAAAACTTCCAATTCCGAGTCCTTTTCTTTTTGCTCTTCCTTGAAATTCATCTTCTTGAAAATCTGTTTGTAAAGTATTTATTGTTGGAAGAGTCGCCTCGACGTCGTTTAATTGATTAGCGAAGCTTGTGTGCTTGGCCATTAAGACTCAGTGAAGAAGTCAATTCCCACTGAGTGTTCCATACAATATCTTATATTAAATTAGGCAGCAAGAGTTGATATATAAAGTTGAACAATAAACAAACCAGTGTTGTTCGAAAAATGAAAGAATGTAAGAAGAAAGAAGAAAGAAAGAAAGAAAGAAAAGAAAAGAGAGAAAAGAAGAAGAAGAATTAAACAAAACAAAGACAGAAACAAATAAAAGGAAAGAAAAAAGGAAAAGTAAAGAAAGAAAAACTGAAGAAAGAAAAGGTAAAAAGAACGTTTAAAAAGGCGTAGGAAGAAATAAACAACTAAGCAAGCAAAGAAGCGTTAAAAACAAAAATAGGTAAAAGAAAGACAGAAAGAAAGAAAGAAGCGTTAAAAAGCAAGAAATGCTAAAAAAGAAAGTTGTAAAGAATATAAGAAAGATAGAAAAAAGAAAGGTATGAAAGAAAGAAAGGTATAAAGAAAGAAAGAAAGAAAGAAAGAAAGAAAGAAAGAAAGAAAGAAAAAAAATGTGTAAAGAAAGAAAGTAAGAAGGGAAAATAGTGAATGTATGAAAGAAGAAAAAAAGCTATAAACGAGAAATTAATAAAGGCACATAGAAGTAATGAATGCATAAATGAAGAAAAGAAGGCTATGGGAAAGAAAGAAAGAAAGAAAGAAAGAAAGAAAGAAAGAAAGAAAGAAAGAAACCAAGAATATTCATTATCACTTGATTCAAAATGGAAGGAAATATTTAAAAATGGCTTTTGGTTTAGTGACAAACATCAGATCGTGATGCTAACCTTTTCTCTTAATAGGAAAAATGGTGCTGATGCTGGCTGACAATTTGTTTAGAACTCAAAAAAAAGAAAGAAGGAAAGAAAAAGGAAAGAATGAATGAATGAAGAAAGAAGGAAAGGAAAGAATGAAGAAAAGAAGACAAAGAAAGAAAATGAAAGAAGGAAAGGAAAAAAGAAAAAAGAAAGAAAGGAAGAAGGAAAGAAAAAAGGAAAGAAAGAAATGACGAAAGAAAGAAAGAGAGAAAGAAAGAAAAAAAAGATTTAAAACTAGTTCAAGAAGTAAGGAAAAGAAAGAATGAAGAAAAAGAAGAAAAATTTTTGAAGGAAAAAAAAAGAAAAAGGAAGAAGGAAAAAAAAAAAAGAAAAATAAAACAAAAAAAAAAGAAAAATATGCGAATAAAAGAAGGAAATTACAATCTGAAGAACAGAAACTACCAACTTCTTAAAGAGCGAAGAAAAAAAGAAAAGAACAAAGAAAGAAACGATGAAGAATTTTAGGAAAAAATAAAAATGGCGGAGAAAAATCAGAAATGAAAAGAAAAAAAAGATCAGGAAAGAAAGTAAAATCCTTTTGTCTCCCTTTCATCCACCATGGTTTCTTTGTCCCTACCACTTTGATACACATTCATTCCCTTTGATAATGATCGCCATCTTAATAAAATCATAACTAGTTCTGAACCCTATCAGCCTTGATAATATTTGAACTTTTATCGGTAACTTTCAAGGTTAACAATCACGTACGCACGCAAATATTCGCTTCTTCTGTGTGCATGCGTGTTCAGGTCCAAGGTCTCGAGTTCGATCCATGCTTTCATCACTATTTCGTCAGATTGGCTAAGGCCATAGTTCAAAATACGGGATTAGATAAAGGACTCCCAGTTTAAATAAGCACTTCCGGGCCATATATTATACAACTAATAGTACCTTTTATTTTTAATTAAAAAATAACTCAGCTTTGAACGCACTTTCATATCCTATGCCTTTTGCCAGACTGCTATCAAAGTAAAAATTTTGATTGGTTATTGGTGGGAACGTGTAGCGCTTAAAGTCATGACCGTAGCAGGCGCCTCTGAAAACGACAGAAAAGATGGCGACTAGAGCATATGCTGCAGTAAAACACAGATAATTAAAGTGAATAAAACGTTTCGACCAAATGTTTGATCTAAATTTGGTTAGAATGAAAATAAGTCTGTGTATTTAGTGAACACACCTGGTTTATGTCAGAGGGTATCCTCCAGACGAGGCTTTGACGAAGGTCAGAGTCTGGTCTCGGGAAACTGACTCCGTTTTTACGTGGTTTATAGGGAATTTTTGGCCGAGCCTCGGATACCCCACTTTAAACTTGACCTTGTGCCACATCTTGCTGAGTGGAGCAGCGGGTAAATAATTATACGAGAGTTGATCCAAAATAAGCGCCTCTTATTTTAATATGTTATCCTGCATTTTCAGAGGCGCCAGCTAAACGTTTTCACCAATAAACCATTACTGTGATAGCAGTCTGGCAAAATGGCGTATGACATTCGATGCGTTCATCTTATTAAAATTTCACTATAATTCAAAGTATTAAGAAAAAACACACACATTGATATTCATCAAAGTTTACTGGTTATTTCCAGAGACCAAACAGTTGATATAAATACTGTTAGGTGGTGACAAGTATGCATATCAGAAGCCACGTTTCTTGGTAGCTCTTTAGATATGTCAACTTACGTAATGAATAGCGCTTCATAAATGCATAGCCAACAGATGACTTTGTGAGAAAGAAAATGTTTTGTAGTTTAAAACTTGCTCTCTCCAAAGATGGTATGGGCCTCGTGGCACGTGTTGTCGCTTCCGTGCAAAGAAAAGGGAGATATTATTTTCGGAGCTTTTCTTCACACTTTCATGTTTGTGAATATATTTGCATTAACACTTATGGAAATACTAACGAACATTTCTTGGTTCTTTCTTTCTTTCTTAGTTTTTTCTTGCTTTCTATTCTTCTTTGTGCTTCAGGACACGTTGTTTTGTTGTGAATTCTCCTTTTCAGTTTGGTAATTTTTATCTTTTACAGTTTTCTTTATATTTGATAATTCTTTTATTTCTTTCATTTTCTTTTCCTTTTTTCATTTTTCTTTTCTTTTTTCAAAAAGTTTTTTTTTTTAAATGTTTTCATTATATCCATTTTTCTCCCCTTCATTTGTCTTTTATTCTTTCTTTTTTTAGATTGGAAAAAAATTTTTTTCATTCATTTTCCTTTCGTTCATTATTTTTTCTTTCTATTCTTTATTCACCCTTTTGTGTATGTGTGTGTGTGTGTGTGTGTGTGTGTCACTACTTCTTTCTCCTATCCTTTCCCTAAACTTTCTTCATCTTACTTATTTTCGTTACTTTTATTTCTCGCTTTTATTCATTTTGTTTTTCTTTCTTTCTTTCTTTCTTTCTTTCTTTCTTTTTTCTTTCTTTCTTTCTTTTTCCCTTCCTTCCTTCTTTATTCAGACACTGGTTTCTTTCTTTTTTATATATTTCTTCTTTTTAGTCCCTCTTTATATCTTTCATTCATTTTCATTCCACACATCTTCTTTCCTATTTTTATATCGTCTGTTAAATATTTTTTTTGGGTTCATCCTTTTTTCTTTAATTCTTTCTTTATATCTTCTTCCTTTTTCCTCTTTCCTTTCCTTCATTAATCCTTTTTTTATGATTCTTTTTTCTTTTCTGTTTTAACCAAGAAAGGGCTGTAGTGAATGAAATAACCAAAACGGAGGTAAGAAATGAAATGGTTAATCTTTATAATATCAACAAAATCCATTAACATGGATGTAAAACAGGTAAACCACTAAAAATAAAGGACTACTTATCATCTTCATATTACCCCAGTGAAGCCAAGCTAGGGGGCTGTTTAACCGCCCAGGTGCCAATACAGGAGGGGTGACACAATGTCACCCCCAACAAAAATTTTTCAACCAGGTTAAGGTGCCAAAATTAGTCTGAAAACAGTGTTGGAGACACAGGGTTTTATGCAGGCAGGCATATGACCCCCAGAAATAATTTATGACCCCCAGTTTTGTCCCCCCGTCAGAAATTTTCTAATAAATTGTCGGGAAATTTGTGAGTAGGAAAAATAGCAATGTTTTTCAGCTTTCATGTGTTTCAGTTGTTACAATCTTGGTTACTAACAAGAGACATTGTTGTAACATTTTATCAGGTGATATGGTGTTTTAACTCTGCATCATTAATAACAACAAAACGAAATACGAAGCCAAAACTGCAACAATTTCTTGTCTTGCCTGTGTATCAATTCGCTGAGATACAATTTTCCATTTAGTGAGCGATATATTTTTGAATATATCTACTAGTGTTGGGACGATTAATCGGAATCGGAATCGAAATCGGAAAAATCGGAACTTTTTTGTATCGAAACGGTATCGGAATCGGAAAAATTTGTAGCTATTTTCCGATTCCAAAAACGATTCTTTTAAATTTTTAACCTAATTTTCCATTATTGGTACTAATGATAAATATTTATTGTTTTTAAATTATCACTAAAACTAAAATCATAATAACATCAAAATACGATGTAAATTTATTTTACTTGTATAAAGAAAAACAAAAAATAAATTTTGCATAAATTCTCTAGGTAACCTTTAAAAAGAATGCAGTTGATTTACAATGTTCCGAAAAATGCTTAAAAATTAAATAGAACATTTTTTCAAGAAAAATACTTTCAAACATCATTGATAATTAAATGGTACCCAAAAATGATGTAACGGAAAATTGACACCGGAAAATTAGCAACATAAAATTACAATCAACCATGAGCCAGTCGAGACTGTCGGATCTGACTGTGCTGTCCATTGAAAACGAAGCTTACACGACAAACAGATTTTTGACGATGTCATTGACCAGTTGCCAAAATGAAAACAAGAAAACATTCATTCTAAGACCATAGTATCGAATGTCATTCTTTTGTGTATTGCCGGGTTTTGTATTTAGTTGTTCTGAAAGTGAACAGTTACATTTTAAAAATCTTTTGATTTGAACTGATTATTTCGTGGTATTGGCTTTTGTCTTGGATCATACATGTAAACAGTAACGTACCGGTCAGTAGAGTAAAGTAGAGGTAGAGCATGTATGAAAATTTAGCTACAGCTAACCATTCAGCATAGGGTGAATCGGGGTCAATGGGGTGACATTTGAGCGGACCGCCCCGAGTGACGTTTACTCCAGCTACGCGCACTGTATTTACAATAGTGTCCAATGTATTTAGGAGGATTGGGACATATCCATTTGTGTTCATATGTACGGTATATAACACTATCTGTCTCCGGTTCTATCTATCTATCTATCTATCTATCTATCTATCTATCTATCTACTGTAACCTAGAAAGGGTTACTGAATGTGTTATAAACAAAACGGAGGTTTGAAATGAAAGGTCAATCTTTATAACATCAACAAAATACAATACTCGCCAGCGACGTGAAGTAGGTAAACCACTGCTAGTGTTGAACTACTTAGCATATTACCCCCACTACATTAGTGTCTAACGTATTTATGAGGATAGAAACATACCCATTAGCGTTCATAGATACGGTAATTAACACTTTCCTTCTTCCTGTCTTTCTTTCCTTCTTTATTTCTGTTGTGAATTCCGAGATGAAATTCGGCCTCCAATGAAGAACAAACGCAATAATTAAATATAAGAAATAAAATGTATTTACACAATCATACAACGGGTAATACTGTTAGTAAATCCAGGGACACGGTTAGTAGCAAATACAGATAGATATATACAGTCTCGAAGTAGGACTTCCTTAGAGCCTACGTGCTTGTAACTGACTTCTACAAGAGGCTACCTCACACTATCTATGTTCGTATATTCTCTCTCTCTCTCTCTCTCTCTCTCTCTCTCTCTTTCCGACTACCCTCTCACTATCCGACTACTCTCACTGACTGTCTAACTCTGGGTATTTAACGGCAGCAGTCCAAGTAACACTGGTAGAGTCCACTTATATGAAAAGGGGTGGACCCCATAACAATTTCTTTCTTTTTTCTTTTCCTTCTTTCTTTTCTTTCTTTCTTTTCTTTTCTTTCCTTCCTTCTCTGTTTCCTTCTTTCTTTCTTTTTTCTTTTTTCATTCATTCATTCTTTCTTTCTTTCTTTCTTTCTTTTTCTTTCTAAACAGTTGGAACAGATAACCTTCCTTCTCTCATATCATTAATCCCTTTCTCGGATTCTCTCTTTCTTTATATTTTTTTTCTATCCAAACTTTGCGCTTCTTTTCCTTCCTAATTGATTCTTTTTCTTTCTTTCTTTATTTCTTTTTTTCCTTGTCTTTTTTTTTTCATTCCCTTTTTCTCTCCCACCCTTGCTATTCATCTTGTATCCGTTCTTCTTTCTCTTTGGTTTGGTGTTTCAAGAATTCTTTTCATGTCCTGCCTCTCCAACATTCAACCCAAACTTTAATTACCTGTCACTGTTTTAATCAACCTTGATTGCTATTTAAACTGACAATGAGATAAGATGACGAGAAAAAAAAAGCAATTCACTTCCAATGTCTAAAAAAGAGGCTTTCATCTTAAACAAAAAAGAAACAATCCTCCATTTGAATGTGATTTGCATTCGTATCAATTGTTCTTTACTCAGTCACCTTTGCCAATGGCATCGTGTATAGAACTACACTGTACAGGAACCATATAATTAGAAACACACAAATATGAACACGTACACTCACACAGGCACGCACACATACATATAGAAATAATCTTAGCAATATAGGAAAATGAAAATGTTTGTGTCTTTATTCATTTACATTCGACGTATGCGTGTTGTATTCTTTTACAAAAGTATTTAATGACGAGACAAAGTGGAAAAATGCATATAAAACAACGCAATTTCGCCAAATCTGTTCATCTTGACTTCTTCAGGTCAGAAAGAAAGAGAAAAATATGTCTAATGAAAATATTTTACGGTTTTTTAGGTTAAAAGAGACAATAAATTAAATTATTTTATCATATAAAAAACATTCAGACAAAAAAATATTTTCAGGAAAGAACACACACACACACATATATATATATATATATATATATATATATATATAAAAATGTTCAAGTGTTTTAAAAATAAAAATGTGTTAGGGCCGTTCAACTGTTTCTCCAAGAATTCAACGTATATATATATATATATATATATATATATATATATAATATTTTTACGTATTAAAATCTATTTTTAAAAAATGAATACACATAATACGTCTAAAAAATTTAACTTTACCTGTTTATATATATATATATATATATATATATATATATATATATATATATATACTTTAAAAAAAATGAAAAATGTATGCTGTATATATTAAATATAAACACACATAACAGATTTTGAAATGGATAACGTTGTTGCCAAAAATATAAACATATATATATGTATATGTTTGTGTTCATGTATATATATATATATATATATATATATATATATATATATATATATATATATATATATATAAAAAGAAAAGAACAGTAAGATATAAAATTATATGTTCTTATAGATATTTTTATTTTACAAAATAGTGCTCAATGTAAATTTAATTTATTAATATTATAAATTAATTGATTTAAAATATAGTTAATAACATGGTTCGAACTTAAAGGTGTAGCATTGGTTGAAAAACCATTTTTTAAATCAATTAAATTATATATATATATATATATATATATATATATATATATATATATATATATACAAGCAACACAGATATATATATATATATATATATATATATATACATATATTGATATATATATATATATATATATATATATATATATATATATATATATTTATATATATTCACAATAGATAAATGGCATGAAAATGTCAGTTTCGTAGAATTCGGTGTACTGAACGCTTTTTTTTAAAATTCAAATATTTATATATATATATATATTTGTATAAAAGGAATATACACAATATATATATATATATATATATATATATATATATATATATATATATATATATATATTAAAAATTCAATTACATGCTTAGTCTGCTCCAAAAGATTTTCATGTGTTTTAACCGTTAAATTTCATGCTGGACGCAATCGTCCGGCGGCCTGACGATTGCGTCCAGCGCGAAACAGCCTGTCGCCTCTGAGTTTTGACTTCAATGTTCACATTTATATTTATATTTACATACGCTCTATCGCTGATATTGAGCATTTTATCCCATAAATATAGCACTCCTTTCCAACTATATTTCTTTATATATATATATATATATATATATATATATATATATATATATATATATATATATATATATATTATTTTGTCCGGAATTTATCAGGTAAAGTGTGTACATTGCAAAAAGATTTACGTGGAGGAGAAGTCATCTTTTATTTACCGTGTCCCTTCATGATGTAAGCGGTCATAACCCTCCACCCCTCCACCACTCTGTCCCTTGTAGCTTATTTTGTCTTTTTGTTATTCCTCCCATACCCTGTTCTGACATACACTTGCTCAAGTCCATTAAATATGTGACGCTTTGCTTTCTCGTGTCCCACTCTCCCTCTATCCGTCCCCGTGAGTATCAGATTTTCCAAGCTTTCCTTCCTCATTACCTGTCCCAGAAATTTCAACTGTCTCTTCTTGATGTCAAGTATAAGTTTCCTATTCGTTTCACTCTCTCCAAAACATCGTCGTTGGGGGAGACATCACGTGATCTAAAAACTCCTATCTACGAACACAAGAGAGAATTGCGTTTAGACAGACTTTATAACTCTCTTGTCTTACATGGAAACGACGGGAGACGTAAAAAAAAGAATGCCCTTTAAGGGGAAAATATTATAAAAACATATTTATAGAATTACTACCAACTATAAATACTAGCTTAAAACATTACTTCACATAAACATCTTTGTACAGATCTATTATTAATTAATTAATGTCTAATACATAAAATAATAAAAATATACAAACCCTTTTCAAAAAATACATATAAGAAATGTTTTAATGATAAATCTAATCAAAATATGATTTTTACAATATTTCCAGCGTTTCACCGACCCACACACAACTGATGACGACATAAGACATTCCCCATTACACGCCTACACATAAAAGAGATTATAGAATCCAACCAAATACAAAATAAATCTTTCATTCTTACATTTCACCAACAAAAACGAGGTTGACATCTATAGACATTCCTCTCGCTCACACTCACACTTATACACTTACATGAATTAATGTTACTGTCCAATATGCAGCTAGACAAAGAAGCGTTTCTTTACATGCACATTCATACACTATTACATACTTTAACATACAAAATGTTCCTCACACATATTTATATAGTATCTATTGCGTTAATAGACGTGACACGTATCTGACAAATAAGACCAAACCAAAAAGTCATAACATTCCAGTGTCTTTTTGCTTTTTTTTCATTTATATTCTCGATCTCTGACGAAGATTGTTAGATTGGGATACGTTTCCAAAATATATTATATATATATTATATATATATATATATATATATATATATATATATATATATATATATATATATTATTGAATAAAAGACAGACCACGTTAAGATTCTGATGAGGTCCGTCAAAAACGTGTGAATTTCTTTTCACTTTTCATTTCAGCTTTTGGAAGTAAAGTCTGATGATCCAGAACCCTGTAAAAGGGGTTATGGTGAAATAGCTTATTACATGGAATCTTAACGTGGTCTGTCTTTTATTCAAACATATCTGCTCTGAATTTTTCATTGAGCTCTCTGGATATCATCCTCCTCAGGTCTACCCATACGGATTACCTAAGTTTGCATAAACTATATATATATATATATATATATATATATATATATATATATATATATATATATATTTCTCCACGCATACAAGAATATGATCAGATTTTAAGAAGTGGTTTAGGGTGTCAAATTTTCAGCAGTTAAGTCGTGCACGTGTGTATTGGTGTATGTGTGTGTGCCCACGCGATAACATAAGCAAATGATTTAAATGTATTTATATATATATATATATATATATATATATATATATATATTATACATATGAAAACTATATGTTAAAATAATGGCCATGGCTACTCTCGTTTTCCGAGACCAACTATCTGCTTGGGTGATTAGCCAATCCTAGTAACAGACACTTGCAATGTCAACATATATATATATATATATATATGTGTGTGTGTGTGTGTGTGTGTGTGTGTGTGTGTGTGTGTGTGTGTGTGTGTGTGTGTATTTGGTAAACTAGTGCAAAGCAAAGTGGAAACAATTTTCTTGTTATTCGTTTCGTCATTAGTGCACATGTGTTGTATCAACCTAACCATCACTAAAATGATGTTTAAGTTCATACGACTACACATCCATACGAACAAGAAGGGACGCTGAAAATTTTTAATTCAATTAAATTTTTAATATATGTTTTCGGCATATAGTCTAACCGATTTTCTTTTTCTCTTTTTATCACTTGTATAATGAAATATACCTTATTATAACAAAAAGTATCTGTCAAGATTGCTAGAATGTTGTAATAAATTGAATGGAAATATACTATGGATGATCTAGCAATTAAAGCACTTTCTATATAACTTGGTTTCAGTAAATTACTTTCTATTTGAATTAGAGTAGCATTCTTTAGATAAAAATATTATCAGACTCATAACAGTGACCAACTGACAGATTGAGTGCATTGTTTTATAAGAGATCCCTTTTATGTTCATATAATCTTTTATTTGAATTGGGCATTTGTATTCCTGTTGGCGATTATTACAGGCGATAGAGTAAATGCCTCCTTGGAGTTTTAACTTATTATTTTGTTTTCTATTAAGTCTTTATAGTTCAGAATTAGTTGAAACAAATTTTGTTAAGCTTAGAAAATTATTATTGTAGTTGTGATAGAGTTAGTTAATATATTTTTATTCGTTGGTTTTCTCCGAATGATTCAATCTTCTATTCTGTAATATTGCGCGAACCTTATGTTTATCTAAATAAAGAAATTAAGCAAATAATAAACAAATTAAAAACTACGAGTGTTCTCATAAACAAATAAATAATTATTAAGAATAATAATCAACAACAAATAATAAATTAATCAATAATAAATAAGTAAAAGTTAACAAATAACACTATATAAAAGT